GCCTTCCCACCACCCCAACCTTCCTCCCCCCCCACCCCCCCAGGCCTTTTGTTGATGATGTGTTGTGTTGGCTCTGAGGTTTGAACTCAGGTCTTCTGCGCTCCTTTGGCTTCTTCCTTCAAGGCTGGTTGTCTACTACCTGAGCCACAGCTCCACGCCCAGCTTTTTGCTGGTTCATTGGAAGTACAATCTCAAGGACTTGATCCTCAGATCTCAGCCTCCTGAGTAACTAGGATTACAGGCCTGAGTGCCATGCCCAGCCTCTCCGGGGACCTTTGATGACAGTTCCCAAGGCAGGCATATGCTCCCTTCTCTCTCTCCTGTTTGCTGGCAGCCCGCTGGCCCTGTGCTCAGCACTGGGGACATGGCGGTGGCCCTTGAGGTACCTGGCAGGGGAGGTAACTTGGCTAAGGTCACATCAGGCACGGGTGGGAGCTGCCTGGCTCTCTGAGCAGCCCTGTGCCCACCTCTTAGGCCCCGCTCCTTCCCTCCCTGGGGCCGCCGACCTCTGTGTCCCAGGCCCTTCAGTCCTCTCCCTCCCCCAGGCCCCAAGGGGTTTCTGGAAGCAACGATTTTGTTGGAAACAGCTTGCAAGAACATCGAGCTTCTGAGTCTGACTCCTGGCTCTGGTTCTTGCACCGTTTGGCCCCATACCTCAGTTTCCCCTCTGTGTAGTGGGGGGAGTCTCCTGTCTCACTACAGATGTGGGGGAGTGTGTGAGGCTCCTGTCTGCATCCTGGCACGTGGCCACTCACAGCAGGAGGCTGTGCCACCACTGTGGTCTTACACGTGGCTTTCCCGTGCTTCTGAGGCGTATGGGAGGCTGGTGGTGTCCTAGAGATGGGCCTCATCACCCCCTTCCCCAGGCCCCTCCTGCAGCGGGGGACAGGACTGGGGCCTAGAGGTGCGGAGGGCCTCCTGGGGGTCCCAGGTCACCTTGGTGGCTGAGCCCCTTGCCAGCAGCTACCCCCCTGCGTACTGTACTGCAGGTGGGTAGCTGTTTGTGGGTACTCTAATGCCCCCCCCCCAGTTGCTTGAGCCCCCACCTCTCACTTCCGTCTTCTGGGGCTCTGTTCCCTGTGGACTTAGCCAGCCTTGGCCTGGGGCCCCACAGGGGACCCCAGGAATAACCAGTGCAGGGGGCCACTGCTCCACCTACTTCCTCACACCGCGGCAGGCAGCCGGCAGGGCAGGCGTTGAGGAAGTTGGAGATAACATCGGGTGACCGGCTCTGGGTTAAGGCTGTGACGCTGCAGACTCTGCTTGTCACTGCAGGACTTTCTTGGGGGTCCCAGCTTGGGGGGGGAGTGTGAGTGGGGAGCCCTCTGCATATACGGAACCTACAGCGAGCAGGGGCTGGGGACTGCCACGCTTAGGTTTATGTCCTGAAGTTGCCATTTATGAGCTGGGGGAGCTCAGCTCCCCCCCCTCCCCCCTACAACAGCGGGAGGCAGAATAAGGAGAGTAGGGTCACCTGCTCTGGGTCTCTTCATTGTCACCTGGCTTTGCACGGGCTGTTCGCGCGCAGGCAGTGATGCTCTTTCTGTGCTCACTGCTGCTCTCTGCGTGGTCATTCCAGGAGTCACCTCCCCTGGGAAGGCCTCTCAGACCACCCTGCCTGCTGCTGTGATCTTTCATTATAACCCGGAACACAGTTGACCCTGTTTCCTCGCTGTCTTTCCGCCCCTGTGGAGTACCAGCTCCACAGCGCCCCTGAACAGGGGCTGGCACAGAGTGGGAAGGCATGGGTGGGTAGCCCTACCGGCCCCCCTGGGAGGTCGGGCCTGTCAGGTTCCATCTCACATCCGGGGAAGGTGGACCAGGCTGGCCCGGGGAGGAGCTGCGGACCCTCAGCTGGGAACGGATGACAGGCCTGGCGTGTGACCCGGGGCCAGCCTGACTCCAGGGCCAGTGTGTCTGTCTGTTGTGCCGCGCCATGTCGCTGGGGGCCTTGCGTGCCAGGCTGGGGTGTGTGTGTGTGTGTTGGATTTGACCTTGAATGCAGAAACAAGATCACAGAAGGCTGGAGGACAGGAGGGCGCCTGCCACAAGGAAGAGCTTTTGGTAGCAGCCTGGATTGTCAAATGAAATCAGTTCAGCTGCTCATGAGCGGTGCGACTGTAGGCAGGTCTCTGGAACACTCTGTACCTCAGTTTACTTGTCTATAAAATGGGGGTCCCGTTTTGGCTGGCTTTTGAGGTGGTGCTTGTGGGGAGCTTTGGCTCACAAGTTTGGCCTTGTGGTCCCTCCCCAGGGGGGGAGGGGGAGGCTCTGCAGGCACATTGTCCATGCCACCCCAGAAGGATTTTTTTTGGGGGGGTTGGTTGTGGAGCTTGAGCTCTGGTCCTGGGCACTGTCCCTCAGCTCTTTCGCTCAAGGCTAGTGCTCTTCCACTTGAGCCACAGCACCACTTCAGGTTTTCTGGTGTTTAATTGGAGATGAGTCTCGCAAGGACTCCTGAGTAGCTAGGATTACAGGCGTGAGCCACCAGTGCCTGGCAGGATTTGGTTTTTTTAATTTCTCAAAAGAGGACACTTTGTTTGGGACAGCCATATTCCAGCCTACCAGCCTGGGCTCTCCTGAGCCTCGGTCTGCCACCCACTCCTCCTCCCTCATGTCAGGAGAGGTGAAAAGAGGAGATCAGAGAGAGGAGAGAGGTTTAATTGAGTGACTACTGCGTGCCAGGGACTTTCCTGCCTGGGTCCCCCCCCCCCCCATAGCCGTCCCTGCAGCCTGGGGAGGGTGGTGGTGGTGGTGGTTAGTGCACCGGGCTGGGGTCTGGGTCAGTACTCTATAGGGTGCAGGGTGGGGGCTGGGGAAGCTCATATGCCCCCCATGATGGGCAGTGGGCCGTGGTCCCACCCCCTCCAGGACAGGGCATATGTAGAGAGCCTAGCTTGGTTCAGAGGCGGACCCTGGAGCGGCCAAGGAACAGAGAGATGGCTCCCTGGCCGGGTCCCCATCCTCCCCCCCCCCCCCCCCCCCCCCGTGGCCACCCGGGCCAGGGAATAGACCTGGCCTTGTGTGCTGTGTCCTAGTATCTTGCTCAAGACCCTGTTTGTTTGGGGAGGAGAAAGGGGGGTCTGTGGTGCCCAACAGAGGTGGGATTCATGGAAGGGGTCTGACGAGGGGGGAGCAGCCTGCCTGGCACCGCCCAGCCCTGGCTGCTGCCAGCTGGGAGACAGGGAGGCAGGGGCTGGGCGTGGCCACTCGGATGCTGTTGGGGAGGGGCGGTGCGCCTGGAGAGCCCAGGCCGGTGGGCGTCCCACCTCCCAGCTTCCTAGTCTGAGGGAAGGGAGTTCCCTGCATCTCCCGGAGCCCCGGTTTGAGCGTGCAGGCACTGGGGGTGTTCTGGGCTCCGTCTGCTCTCCGGAGTGTGGGAGAGGATGGTCTCCCCTAAAGGGAGGCTCGCTCCGTTCTGGGGAGGTGCTGAACAATGCGTTCCCTGATGCCTGGCAAGGGGTGGGTTTGGGCGGGGTTGAAAAAGGCCTGTGTGCAGATGTGGTTAGAGCTCAGGTGTGAGCAATCCTCTGTGAGATGGGCCACCTGGGGAGGGGTGTCGGTCTGGAACGTCCCCATCCTCTGTTCCACACCGGGTGACAGCACTGCGCGTACAGCTGTCGTTGGCACAGGACTGGGGGCTGCGTGGGGCCCCCTGGACAGGGAAATAGACACGGGCCACACACCTCCTTCCCATGCGACCCTGGCTAGTCCCGCACCCTCTTTGGGCCCAAGGAGAGTGTCTGAGGTTCCTAGGAAGCAGACCTGCCCCTCCCCACCCAGGCCTGGGCCTCCCTCCAGCCTGGGAGGAGGAGGTGGGACTCAGAGGAGAGAGGCCCCAGGTCTGAGCAGGCTTCCAGAATGATGCTCTGTGCCAGCCTGGGGTGGCAGCAAAGAACTGAGAAGCTCACAGTGGAGCCTGTGCCCCATGTGAGATCCTGAGTCTGCCCATCTCTGGCTGCATCACTGGGCCTGGGGGAGGGGTGGGAGGGTCTCTTCCAGCACGGAACAGAAGTAGTTGCCACCTGACAGAGAGGACCTGGGAAGGTTCCTGGCTGGTGGGTGGGGCTAGGGTGGGGCTTAATGCAGTAAAGGTGGGGCTAGCAGCGTAAAGGTGTGGCTTAAGGGCTGGGGCGGGGCTTTGAGGGGCTAAGATGGGACTCAGTGCACCAGTTACCTGTTTGCAGACTGGCTGTGACCTTGGGGCCTGGGTCAGGACATGTGGGAAACGTGTTTGCCTCTCCAGATTCTCCCCTTCTCCCCACCACCTCTGGATGGCATAGAAAGAGCCGATGGCTTTGGGGTAGACCTGCAGGCTGCACCCCAGATCATCTAGCACCTCTGAGCCTCGTTTTCTCCATCTGTCAAAGGGGCTGGCCGGTAGGACCAAGTGACACAGGCTGCCCGCGGCTTCTCACATGCTGCCCCCCTGCGGTGCGCTGTCTCTGCCTTTCTCTCACCTCTGATCTGGGCTGGGCTGCTGGTTGGGGCAGAGGACTAGGCCAGGGTGGCACTGTGTCCGTCTGTACACTCGGGGGCCTTGGGGAGATGGGAGGGGGCTGCACAGGGAGCCAGGACCTCAGACTGCATGTCTCCCATGCACTCCTGCACTGGGGTCCAGGCTGCTGGCCTCGGGCCACGCCCCAGGAGTGGCCCAAGAGAAAAGGGACCTGCAGGTTCCAGGGTGGGCTTTCCAAAGCTGCTGGGACAGAGTGCATGGCTGCCTCAGACAGAGCACAGAGAGCCCGAGCGGAGCTTTCTGAGCTCCCGTCTGTCTCTGGGCCTCCTTCCCCGCCATCTGCACCCCATCTCTCCGGCCTTGCCCTGTCTGTGCCCCAGCTTGCCTCTGGCTGAGCGGGAGGGACCCACAGTGCCTTGTGGCGCTGGGGCGTTTGGCTGCGTGGGTCCCGTGTGGGAGTGTGGCCCTGTCAAGCCGCAGGTTCAGGGCCCTCTGTCGCGCACGAGCCGCACCTGCTCTCCCGGGGGGGGGGGGCCAGCCCCTAGCCCCCGTGCCCACACCTGGCAGCCAGCTGCACCTGCTGTCCCGGGGGGGGGCCAGCCCCTGGCCCCCGTGCCCACACCTGGCAGCCAGCCGCACCTGCTGTCCCGGGGGGGGGCAGCCCCTGGCCCCCGTGCCCACACCTGGCAGCCAGCCGCACCTGCTGTCCCGGGGGGGGCAGCCCCTGGTCCCCGTGCCCACACCTGGCAGCCAGCCGCACCTGCTGTCCCGGGGGGGGCAGCCCCTGGCCCCCGTGCCCACACCTGCTGTCCCGAAGGGGGCAGCCCCTGGTCCCCGTGCCCACACCTGGCAGCCAGCCGCACCTGCTGTCCCGGGGGGGGCAGCCCCTGGCCCCCGTGCCCACACCTGGCAGCCAGCCGCACCTGCTGTCCCGGGGGGGGGCAGCCCCTGGCCCCCGTGCCCACACCTGCTGTCCCGAAGGGGGCAGCCCCTGGTCCCCGTGCCCACACCTGGCAGCCAGCCGCACCTGCTGTCCCGAAGGGGGCAGCCCCTGGTCCCCGTGCCCACACCTGGCAGCCAGCCGCACCTGCTGTCCCGGGGGGGGGCAGCCCCTGGCCCCCGTGCCCACACCTGGCAGCCAGCCGCACCTGCTGTCCCGGGGGGGGCAGCCCCTGGCCCCCGTGCCCACACCTGCTGTCCCGAAGGGGGCAGCCCCTGGTCCCCGTGCCCACACCTGGCAGCCAGCCGCACCTGCTGTCCCGAAGGGGGCAGCCCCTGGTCCCCGTGCCCACACCTGGCAGCCAGCCGCACCTGCTGTCCCGGGGGGGGGGCAGCCCCTGGCCCCCATGCCCACACCTGGCAGCCAGCCGCACCTGCTGTCCCGGGGGGGGGAGCAGCCCCTGGCCCCCGTGCCCACATCTGGCAGCCAGCCGCACCTGCTGTCCCGGGGGGGGGAGCAGCCCCTGGCCCCCGTGCCCACACCTGGCAGCCAGCCGCACCTGCTGTCCCGGGGGGGGGCAGCCCCTGGCCCCCGTGCCCACACCTGGCAGCCAGCCGCACCTGCTGTCCCAAAGGGGGCAGCCCCTGGCCCCCGTGCCCACACCTGCTGTCCCGAAGGGGGCAGCCCCTGGTCCCCGTGCCCACACCTGGCAGCCAGCCGCACCTGCTGTCCCGAAGGGGGCAGCCCCTGGCCCCCGTGCCCACACCTGCTGTCCCGAAGGGGGCAGCCCCTGGTCCCCGTGCCCACACCTGGCAGCCAGCCGCACCTGCTGTCCCGAAGGGGGCAGCCCCTGGTCCCCGTGCCCACACCTGGCAGCCAGCCGCACCTGCTGTCCCGGGGGGGGGCAGCCCCTGGCCCCCGTGCCCACACCTGGCAGCCAGCCGCACCTGCTGTCCCGGGGGGGGGCAGCCCCTGGCCCCCGTGCCCACACCTGGCAGCCAGCCGCACCTGCTGTCCCGGGGGGGGGAGCAGCCCCTGGCCCCCGTGCCCACACCTGGCAGCCAGCCGCACCTGCTGTCCCGAAGGGGGCAGCCCCTGGCCCCCGTGCCCACACCTGGCAGCCAGCCGCACCTGCTGTCCCGAAGGGGGCAGCCCCTGGCCCCCGTGCCCACACCTGGCAGCCAGCCGCACCTGCTGTCCCGGGGGGGGGGGCAGCCCCTGGCCCCCGTGCCCACACCTGGCAGCCAGCCGCACCTGCTGTCCCGGGGGGGGCAGCCCCTGGCCCCCGTGCCCACACCTGGCAGCCAGCCGCACCTGCTGTCCCGGGGGGGGCAGCCCCTGGCCCCCGTGCCCACACCTGGCAGCCAGCCGCATGTGCCATCTGGCGTTCCCACTTGGGATTCACCTGGTGGTTGGCTCTGTGCCCGCACACAGCCCGTTACCCTCGGGGCACAGTGTGGGGCCCGCTGGGGTTCCTCACACCGCCCTTTATTTCCCAGGCCGGCAGCCCGTTTTACCCGTGCATGGCTTTCAGGGTGACGGGCGGGCCGCTGGGGGACTTGCTGCCCACTTCCCGGGCTGGGTGTGGACATCTGGGTCCCCAGAAGCTCCTGTCTGAGGTGTTAGGCAGGACCCTGGTCTGAGCAGATTTCTGCCCTTAGGGCTCCTGGGACCCAGGGAAGGAGTGGCTGGGCAGCCCAGGCCCAGAGGCTCCTGGGGGCTTGGACGGCTGTGGTAGCTGCTGGGGAACCACACTGCTGTGTCCTCCCCTGGTGAAGGAGGGTCAGTGGGCATCGGGCCGCTGGGCACCAAGGCAAACTTAATTCAGGAGCTGGGTGCCCACAGGCCTGCGGGGGCCTTTCGGAGCTGGGGGTTAAGCAGGTAGGAGAGTGCCAGCCCCTGAGGGAGGGGGTATGGGAGGCTGGGACAGGCTCCGGGGGCCTGGCCTGTTTTTTCTCTCCCTATTTCCCCGTCCTTCCTCTGTCTCTCTATCCTGGCAGACCTGGGACCTCAGGACTTTCTGTTCTCTTGGCTGAACTGGAGATATGTGGGTGCTACAGGGAGAGAGCACTGGGCAGGGAGTCCAGAGCCCAGGTCTGGAGTTATGGCAGTTGCAGCCTGACCCCCCATGGGATCTAAATCTTTGGACTGCCCAGGGACTGCAGGGAGTCTTTATTCTTTTCACAGCATTTCAGTCCTGCCGTGTGTGGGACACCGGTCCCCCATATGCCCATTTACAGATGGGAAAACCAACATACAGAGAGGTTATGCATCCTGCCAGTTGTCACACAGCAAGTCAGTGATGAGCTCGGGATATGAACCTGGACCATCTGTCTCCAAAGACTTTCCCAACTGCTGCCAGGTGTTGAGAGCCCCGAGAAGGTCCAGGACAAAGGTTCTACACGGTGTAGGTACGGCAGCTTGGGATCGGGCTGGATTTGAGTGCTTTCCTTGTCATTTACTCAGAGTTCCTTGAGGTAGCCAAGCCTCACATCTGTAGGATGGGGTAGCAGTGCTTCCTTGGCAGGGCTTTATGAAGGTTTGGTACCATGGGGCTGAGGGTCCTGGGTGGACGGTGGTGCTTGGTGCTCGGTGGGTGGGCAGCTCCAGGATATGAAGCTGCCGAGGAGTGTGTCCTGGCAGGATGTTTACTCAGGCAGGCCTGCCCTCCCCCCTCCCCCCTGCCAGTGGCTTTCCTGCAGAGTATGATCCCCCCTGGCCCCTGCATCACGGGGAGGCCCAGGGGGACGGGAGGACCTTGGCTGGCACGTTCCTGGTTGTACTGCCCAGCCTGGCGCAGCGCCGCTCCCCAGCACCACCTTCCCAGCGCCGTCATGAAAGCCCCAGCTTCCCAGGGGCTGGCGGGGCCTTGGGCATCCTGACACGTTCCTAGAGCTGGAGGTGTCCAGTTTTCAGGTCTCTAGTCCTGTTCTCTGCACACACACACTCACACACACACACGCGCGCACACACGTACACACACACGCATGCGCACACGTACACACACGCACACTGGCTTGCACTAGGCCGCGATCCAAAGGCTTCCCTTTGATGGTTGCTCAGTTTTTTTAGCTTGAAAGTGTCCATCTGTCCATCTCTGTGCCAAGGCCCACAGGCTGGCCACTGAGTGGGGCCCCTGCCCCGGTGCCTCCAGGGATGGGGCAGAAGTCCTGGAAGGAGCCTGGAGGGATGGCTGGCCGGGGGGGGACCACGCAGGCAAGCACCCTTCGGGGCGCTGTGGATTCTGTCCATCCACTAGGCTTGCTTAACTCTCACCCGCTCCGACCCCCGTCCCCACCACCCTGCCTGCCACCACCCACCCACTCAAGCTTCAGGGGGGCAGGGATGCCATTTCCAGGGACCCGCCACCCTCCCCTCCCCTAGGAAGTCTGCCCTAATGCCCGAGAGGATGGTAATTAGTATGAGGCAGGCTGATTAGCTCAGAAATTAAGTCTTTGTTTCCTCCCTCTCTCCTAATTGAGCAGATGCACAGTGGGGGAGGGGAGGGGCTGGTCACGGGGCGGGGTGGGGGGGAGACACGTGTGGCGGTATTCTGGCTGCAGGGCTTGGGGAGGGGCAGGTGGTTGGGGGTGCAGTCTGTGAACCCCACACCCTCCACCCTGATGGGGTGATGCTGGGGAGGGGGCGCCTGGGTGTGGGTCCCAAGAAGACTCCAGGCCGTGGCCGCACCCCGTCTGTGGTGAGTGTGCACGCCCTCTCTCCCCGGCTCCGTGTCCCAGCTCTGGACGTAACAGTTGTCATTGATTGAGCACCTACTTTCCCCTTTGGCTTCTGTTGTTTTTTTGTTTGTTTTTTTCCAGCTGGGACAGCAGGCGTGCACCACTGTGCCTGGCCCCCTACTTGACATTTTTTTAGGGAGGAGGTTTGGGGACACTGCATGAGGGTCAGGTCCTTCCTCCCTGACCACCGCACCCCAGGTCTCCAGCAGGACCCCTTTCCTGTTCTGTCTTCAGCCCCTCAGTTTTCAGGCTTAGGGAGGGAGGTGACTTGCCCAAGGTCACACAGCGTGGGGAGGGGAGCCAGGCCGCCTCCTGGAGCTCAGGAGGGTCCTGGAGATCAGTGTGGAGTGTCACCCGGGCTCAGCACATCCCTTCCTGGGTTATCAGGAGGAACAGAAGCAAGGAGGTGGTGACAGCGGACGTGGTGGCACTGCTGTGTGCCAGGAGATGACGCTGCCGCGCGGCCGGCTCCTGCGACTGTGGCCGTGGGACGAAGGCTTCACTCTCCCACTTGGCTCTTTGGTTTTTTTTGGCAGTAGTGAAGTTTGAACTCAGGCCTTATGCCTACTGGGCAGGTCGGCGCTCTACCCCTTGAATGATGTCTCTAGCCCTTTTTGCTTTGGTTGGTTCTCAGCTACTTCGTGTGGACCTTGCTTTTTGCCAAGATTGGCCTTGAGCCACGATCTTCCTTCTGCCTTCAACTAGCTCAGATTACAGGCGTGTGCAGCCACAACTGCACCGTGTTTCTTTTGTGGTAAGATCCCACAAGCCGGACACAGGTGACCCAAACCTGGCGTCTAGCTCCTTAGGAAATTGAAATCTGGAAGCTCACAGTTTGAGGCAAACACAGGCAGAGAAGTTTGCTGGACTCCATCTCTAAAATAAACATCCAAAGGCAGGTCTGGAAGCATGGCTCAAGTGCCTAGAAAGCTTGAGACCATAAGTTCAAAAAGTAGTGTCTCTCTTAGCATTTTACCTAGGCTATCCTTGAACTAAGATCCTTCTATCTTAGCCTCCCAAGAAGCTGAGATTACAGGTGGTGCATCCATACCAGGATGCCATCCATCTGACACAAAGGAGCTGAGATTCAGCGAGGCAGAGAGTCTCTTAATAAACTTAGGCCCTTCCATCCTGGCCATTGTCCCCAGTGGCCTACAACAGGGTAAGGAGCCTGGCACACAGTAGGTGTTGAGCACATGGTAGGTGTTAAACAGAGGCCAGCGTCCTGACCCTGTCCCAGAGAAGCTGGTGCCGGGGGTGCTGTGTCTCGGGCTTGGTGGGGTTCCAGGAGGGTGGTGTCCTTCCAGCAGCTCATGCGTAGGCTTTGCTTTTCCTCCTGTTTGCAGGCAGGGGTGAGGTTTAGAGGCTGCGATGTCACTAAGGGTGGAGTTGGGACTGGGGTTTGAGCTCCAAGAACCAGCGCCACTACCACTGTCCTGTCCCTGACAGTCGTACCCACCGTTCCCCCGCAGACACAGCCCACTCTTCTGTCCTCCTGGGGCTTGTCTCTGCTGCCCTTGCCTCCTCAGTCGCCACCTGGCTCACTGGGCGCCTTTGCTGGGTGCCAGCCCCCCCTCCCCCGTGTGTCACTTACCGGTTCCCCGCCGTCCTTGGGCCCAGACTCAGAACCTTTGTCCTGGCTTCTGAGACCTTCCAGGTCTTGGCCCAGCCTTGCGGCTCCCTCTCCCTCTGACAGGCATGCTCTGTCCCCTGGGCCTGGATCCAGTTCCTCAAAAGTGCTCCCGGTACCTGCTCCCCCTGGGCAGAGTCCTCCCCAGGGAGGCCGGGCTTCCCCACGTCCTCCTGGAAGTCCTTCCTGGGTGGCAGTCCGCCCGTTTTGTAGACGGAGAAGCTGAGTCTTGGCTCGCTCAGCTCAGGACCCGCTTATGTGCGTGCATGCATGTGCACAACACGTGTGTATTCCGGCTGCTGTCTGCGTGAGGCTGTGTTTGGGGCTAGGGTGCTGAGCTGCTTTGTGGGGATTGGGAGGACTTGGGACTGCCTGTGGGGGCTGAGCCCACCTTTCCTGGGGGTGGTGGGGAATGTAGGTGTAAACTTGGCCCTCCATCAGTCTTTGGGACCACAGTCCCCCCCCCCCCCAGCTTCTTGCTTCTCTCCCCTTCACTTCAAAACAAACACCCGCGAGCCCAAACCTCCCATCCAGCCAAGGCACAGATGGAGCCCGAGTCGGAATTAATTAGTCCTGTTGCCAAGGCAACAGTCTTCTCCCTGGGCCTGCCCCTACCCTTCTGCCCGCTCCTTCCTCTGCCGGCCCCGCCCCTCACGCCATGGCCACGCCCCCGGCAGCAGCTGGAGGAGGGCGGGGTTCTTGGGAGGCACTTCCAAAGTCAGAGGCGCAGCAGGCTGCCTGAGAGCTGTGCTGGAGCTCTCCTTGGCCGTTCTTGGCTTGGTGAGCCCTCAGCAAGTCGCAGGACTGCTGGGACAGTGGAGGAATGGGGACCCTTCCGTGACCCTTCCGTGGAGGCTTTGTTTTTTTTTTTTTTTTTGTCGGTCGTGGGGCTTGAACTGGGCCTGGGCGCTGTCCCTCAGCTCTTCAGCTCAAGGCTAGCGCTCTACCACTTGAGCCACAGCGCCACTTCCGGTTTTCTGGTGGTTTATTGGAGATAGGAGTCT